TTTTTTTTGTTTTTCTATATATAAAAAATCATGTGATATGACGTAATTTTGACCATTTTGACTTTTCATTTCGACTTCATGTATACTTCAGACATACATAAAATTTGGATTGAAAGTTACAAAGGTTCATGGTGCTCTAAAATTCTGGCAATCTCTATGGATGAAAGAATATATTGAGGAAAACATTCGAAAGTGTAAGATTGCTAAAGCTAATGGAGACGAGTTTGGGGTTATGTATTATAAGCTAAAAAATAATGCTGTCTTCAGAAAACAGATGGAGAATGTCTGTAAACATATAAGAGTAGAACTACTTTGACCAGAAGAGGATAAAAAAATCAGACGTCTAACAAGTTCACTATTGTTTGTAGACTTTAAAGCATTTGAAGGGGGAATTACAGCAGTCCATATGTTAAAAAGTACAGTAATACTAAACAAACCAATCTATGTAAGGCAAGCAATTCTTGACATTAACAAGGCTATGATATTTAACTTTTGGTATAATTACATAAAATCTCGCTATGAGAAAAAGCCTGTCTACTTTATACAGATACAGACTCACTTATCATGTGAATAGAAACTGAGGATATTTATAAAGATCGGGCAGAAAGACCAAACATTTTTGATCTTAACTATTCGGAAGACTTGTTTCTGATGAAGGATGAAACAAAGGGAAACCAATAGGTGAATCAGTATGTTTAAAGCCAAAAATGTATTCAGTTTTTCCAACAGAACATGATCCTAAAACTCCCGATGACTCAGATTCTAAAGATCCTAAAAAGAAGCATAGTATTCAGAAGACAAAGGGTGTTAAGAAATGTGTAATCAAAAAGAAGCTTTAGTATGACAAGTTCCTAGAATGTCTTAGGAATAAGAAACTAACTTAGCATGATATGTATGGTCTACGCAGTTACGATTATCAAATATATCTGGAAGGGTAAATAAGATAGGATTGAATCCATATAATAACAAACGCTAGATCTTACTTAATGGAATTTGAACCCTCCCATATAGTCATTAGTGAATTAGATTCTATAAACGTCTAGTAACATCTGAAATATCTCCTGAGAAAGCAGAAGAAAGAGCTATGAAAGCTAAACTTCGTGTTAAAGGACCCTAAAGGAAGCAGATATAAATGATTTATAACTAATATTTTTTCAGATACAAAAATTACTATGAAATATTTTTTTATTAATTAAAGTTTTTTTATTGGTAAAGTAGAAGATACAAAAAAATGGTTGATCATAAGGATATAGAACTTGTGCAAGTCAAAGTCATAAAAACTGAATTGCGAAAGGGTAAAAAATATGATAATTTTGCAAAAAAGTATAGAGATTATCTAAAGAAACTGCGAACAGAAAAGGATCCAAATAACTATATTAAGACATTCGTAATAAAGATGTTCCTAAGGAAAAAGCATATATTGAAAGACTAGAAACTTATTGTAAAAGGTATGAAGATAATGATCTATATACCAGTCTAGAAGAATTATATGAGCTTTATTATCATATAGCTAAGGAGGAAAATCGTGAAAGATCAAATGATGAAATAGAACAGATACTCATAGCAATGGCAATCTAGTCATCTTTTTCTCAAAAAGAAAAGATATCAAGATAAGCAAATAGGGTAGGCTATCTTTTGCAGTACCGAAGATACAAAAAAGGGAATATGATCAAAGATGGTATCCCTCATGAAGTAACCAAAAAAAGAGCTATAAGGACAAAGCTTTCAGAGAAGTATCAAAATGAATGTGTGTTTCACATATCATTCTTTGAAGAATAGGGTTTGGACTAATAGATGGATGAGACTGTATACAATATCATTTTATAACTGAATATTTTTTCTAGTAGTTTTAAAATGGCAACTAAAATAACTGGTCTAGAGGATATTATAAATAATACAAGTAAAAATATAAAAAAGGTTTTTCAAAATAGTGTTAAACCTGAAGACAAGCAAGAGGCATATATAATTGGGCTTAAATTGATATTAGATAGATTAGCACGAGAGTTAGAATTTATGCAAAATAATTATCAAGGCATGTCTTCTAATCAGATTAATTGAATGGATAGACCCTTCTGAAGGTAAAATTTTCTTGCCAAAATTATGTAAACCTTATGTGATTGAGCGTCTTGTCGCTTAGGAGTATTATTATATATATTTTTTCTTGTATAATAAATATTTGGTTACAGAATACTTCTCTATAATGGAAAGCAAACAAGAGCAATTATCTAATAATACATATAGTGAGTATGAGATAGGCATGGTAAAAGAACTAATGAAGTTATCAGAACTCAATTATCATACAAGAGCGTCTTCAGCAATTAATAAAAAATACAGTATTTTTATTGGAGAAATTATAGCATTAATGACAAAAGTAGATAAACTTAATTCTCAATTCAAAAGGCTTGAAAGAACTGTAGACTGGATATGAAATTATGTAAAAGAGCAAACTGGCTTAGAGCCTGGTAAAGAGCTAACAGATTTATCTGAGTTCGATTCAGATTAAGAATCAAAGGTGACTAATGGTATCCATAAGCAATATGTGTATAATTTGATCACATGATACTGCTCCCTTAGAGCTCAGTGTCAGATGACATCCAACGGAAATCCGCGCGGTATCACATGTTCATGCAATAATATTCAGGCAATTTGATTAGCTAAAACATAATATAGAGTATATTTTTTTACCTGAACTTTGAAGGATAATAACTCGACTTCTACTGATTGGATATATACGAATTTAGGCTTGTTGGAAATATTAGAACCTACTAAATCCAGTAGTTTAATTCTCATCAAAATTGTGCTGGTAGATGTCGAGAAATTTGCGTTCTAAGATCGTTACAGAAAATCAGATTTTTATGGCTATAAGTAAAATATACTGCACACTGTGACCATCATGGTCACACCTCTTCTATCAAAAATAAAAATTTATTATACCTAGTTTTTATACAAATAAAGATGATCCTGTTATCTGAAAAAAATATATATTCTTGTCATGTATTTATAGTTTCATCCTAAATCAATTATAAATCTATGCTAATAATAATCGAATAGGCATAGTCACTTCTTGTGAGCAGTCAATCACTTTTCGTAGGCAGTCAGTTACTTTTCATGAGCACTGATTATTTCTTTCATATGCTCTCTTAATTTACAAGAATAACGAAATACCTTAAAACAATATATATATGTCCGATTATCTAACTTTTTTTTAAGTCCTCCTTCTCTACAGTAAAGATATAGTCGCCGGGGGTTCTTTGATATAATTATATCAAAGAACCCCCGGCGACTTGAGTTAGGTTATGACGGTGATGACA